ATTTGATCAAAAAGGAAGCTCATGTTTTTATTTCTTAGAAATATTTCCAGATCTGGGTTTTTCTTCAAAAATTCGTGGGTGGGGATTTAAAATCTGAAACACATTATTTCTAGCATCTACCCTAACAAGAACATTGTTTTATACTTGAAAATAAGTCTTGGGCTCAATAAAACTCATGGAAAACCATTGTAAACTATTAAAAACGTGGGAGAGGGGTTTGGCGAGATGTTACTCGCCTGAGAAATGATGAAGAACAGATCCCTTCTCTGAAATCCTCACAAAGCCGCTGAGAAAGCCTTCGAAACGCCCCAAAATCTCCAAGAACACCTAGGGTTTTAGAGAGGAGAGAGGGGGACTAGGGTTTCTGGGGAAACTGATGGAAATGAGGTGATTTCGGGTAGGGGAGTATATATATAAGTGGATAAAACCCGACCCGAAACCCAACAAACCCGAACTGAGAAAACTGGAAAATCCTCAATGAGTCGACTCATCACAGTCATGGGTCGACTCATGACTTCCTGGGTCGACTCGTAACATAATGAGTCGACTCAGCAGAAACAAAAGGCAACAGGACTCGATTTCGTGAGTCGACTCATGAAAATCATGGGTCGACTCATGGACTAAAAACTGCATATGATGGTTCTGCTGCATATAATGAAATTTGCACACTCAAACCCATTACTGATGCACATAAACATGATCAAAATCTACGGGGTCTTACACTACTATATTCTTAATGTGATAGAAGCCTTCCTATGACAGCCGAGAAAGTTTTAGACTAACCTATTGTTTGTTCAAATGTAGACAATGAAGTTTATTACGTAGAGAGTGTTTAGTCCAATTTAGTACAATAATTTAGTACAAACTATCAATCTTAAAACATTTTATGAGATATTAAGATAATTAATAAGTATACTTAATATACAGATGAGACAAGTTCCTGACGAGTTGTGGATTGATATTTCTATTATGAAAAGAAGAGCGGGAGGTGACACTCGATATCGTGAAAGATGAGAATCTTTCCTTAAGTATACGTATGCAAATCCGAGGAAGTTAGAGAATGATTTACTATTTTGCTCATGTAGCTTTTGCAAAAATAGCGGTTTGGTGGATAGAGTTACTATATGAAAATACTTAGAAATATAAGGATTGGATGAAAAGTACAAATATTGGAGATTTCACAGAGAAGACGACAATATTGAACCAGCTGATGGAAATATAAACCTAAGAATAGACGATACACATGCAATGTTCAATGATATTGTCATAGTTATAGAAGTTGCAGAAGTTCCCGAGGTTCTTGACGTTCCCGAAGATATAGAAGCTGTCGAAAATGTTGAAGATGTGTGTGATACTAATAGATTTAAAAGTTTAATGAAGTTATTAGAAGATAACGAGAAGGATCTGTATGCCGGTTGCTCAGAGTATAGTAGATTGTCATTTATTCTTTAACTGATGTGTATTAAGACCCTCAGCGGAATGGCAGATAAATATTTTCAAATACTTCTTAATTTACTACACAAGATAATTTTGGATGGAGAGAATAGCATACCAGAAAAGTGTTATGATACAAATAAGATCATTGGCGCTCTCGGTTTAGATTACACTAAACTCCATGTCTGTCCTAATAATTGTATCCTGTATTGTAAGGATAAAGAGAAGCTTGAGGAATGTCCAAAGTGTGGAGTGTCTCGTTGGAGAAAGAATACACGCACTTCAACATGAAAGGCAGATGAGTCAATTAAGCAGCCGAAGAAAATTCCAGTGAAGGTGCTCCGACATTTTCCCTTGGTCCCGCGTTTACAGAGGTTGTATATGACAAAAGACACAGCTAAAAACATACGGTGGCATAAGGAAGGACGCGTAGTTGATGGTAAACTCAGGCATCTAGCAGATGCAGATGCATGGGAGCATGTGAATCAATCTTTTCCTTAGTTTTCCACAGAGTGTAGGAATGTTAGACTCGATCTATCTAGTGACAGATTCAACCCGTTTGGCATTATGAGTTTAGGTTGGTCCACTTGGCTAATTGTGTTAATACCTTATAATTTGCCACCTAGACTTTGTATGAAGCAATTGTATATGATCCTTTCATTGCTGATACCAGGCAAACACTCACCCGGTAATGACATAGATGTGTTCATGGAACCGTTAATTGATGGGATAAGGTGGTCCAAACATATGATGCATTTTCCCATCAAACGTTTAATCTCCGTGCTATTCTTATGTGGACCATTAATGATTTTCCAGGTTATGCTAATCTTTTCGATTGGTCTACGAAAGGAACATTTGCTTGTCTCGTATGTGGTCAAAACTTTGAAGGCTTTTATTTACAACACAGTCGAAATATGTATTATTGGTTTTACAGAAGATGGTTACGAAAATGAATAAATACAGAGGTAAAAAGTGGGTGAATAAGTTTGATGGCCAATAAGAGAAAAGAGGGGAGCCGCATGTAATGACTGGAGATGAAATTGTAGAATTATTTGAGGGATATCCTAAAATTAAGTTTGGAAAGAGCCGATATACAAGAGAGGATATTCTAGCTCCAAGATGCATTTCCATTATGAAGAGAGCACCAAAATGAAAGAGAAAAGTGTACATCACGGATGAGATACATGACAAGGAATTGCCAAAAGGATGGAAAAAACTTAGTATACTTTTTTAGCTACCATACTGGCAAAAGCTCAAAATTTGGCATAACCTAGATGTAAAACATATTGAAAAAAATATATGTGATAACCTGTTGTCCACACTCTTACAAGATGGTAAGAAATCAAAGGACGATTTACGGGCTCAGTGAGACTTGAATGCATTGAATATCCGACATGATCTGCAAGCATGAGAAGTCACTGTCAACAAATTTGAGTTGACCTCATCTCGTATTACAATGACAAAGGTTGAGATGCAAAAATTCTGTGAGGTGCTCAAATCGGTAAAATAGATAGATGGTTACTGTTCTAATATTTCAAATAATGTTCAGGTGAAAGAGTGAAAATTTTTGAGAATTAAGACTCATGATTATCACATCCTTCTTCACCAATTGCTTCCCGTGGCACTTCGTAACAATATGGCTGATGATGAAGTAGCAAAGGTTATAATTGAATTCTGTGGATTTTTTAGAAAGTTATGCTCAAAAGTTATCAATGTTACAGAATTTAAGGCACTAAAAGGAGAAATGAATGAAACCCTCTGCAAAATGGAGTTATTCTTCCTCCCTTATTTTTTACTATTATGGTCCATCTTACACATCATCTTGTAGATGAGGTATTACTCGGAGGTCTAGTTAACTATCGTTGGATGTATCCTATGGAGAGGTTAGTTAAAATTCAATTAAGTCACTTTACCTAATATGTAATTATTTTATCTTAATAACTAATAGTTATTACTATTTTTTTAGGTATTTAGGTTTCTTAAAGCGCATAATACACAATCGAGCTCATCCGGAGGGTTCGATTGCTGACCATTATGCTGCAAATGAATGCATTTCTTTTGCCTCTCGATATATGCGAGGTGGAGATGCAAATAATAATACACAAATTAGTAAAAGATATGACACTTTTTATGGAAGTACCAAGATGAACAAGGATTACTCCAGATTAGACTTAGAACAAGCTCATGCATTCGTCTTGCACAATCTGGAAATCTTTGAAAATTATCGAAAGTAAGTATATTAACTTTAATAAAAGTGATAATTTTTTAATTTATATAATTATTAATCTCTTATGTTGTATCAATTGTTAATATTTGGAGGAGTTGCAGTTAGAAATAACTGGGCCTTCAGCACGGAATCAAATTACCAAAATACATGGAAATTTTTTTTTAAATGGGTTGCAGCTAAATTAAGTTTTGTGAAATTTAATCTTAATTAACTTTGAGAAAAATTTAGAATAACTTCTTAACGATCGTTTGTTATTATGTTTAACATTAGGTAGAGAGACAAATATTTATTGGTTTACCAATATCAGAAGAGATAAGAATTCACGCACACGGGCCACACTACACAGGTAAATAATGTAGCGGATATCGTGTGAATGTGTTTTTATTTCAAAAGTTAGGGATTGAGGAGGAGAGAGTTACCCAAAATAGTAGGGTCATGGTTGTCTTCTCTCAAGAATGTTATGCAAGCTCGACAGATCAGAATCCAATACTTAATGATGTAATTTATTATGGCCAACTAGAAGATATCTTGGAGATATTCTATGCATATGGTATAAAAGACGTATGTAGTTATGTGATGTTTAAGGTTCGATGGTGTCATGCTGAAATAACAAGAGATGCATATGGCTTTAATCTTGTAAATCTCGACAAGGAGATTTACCCCGATTTGAAGTTCATGTTTGCAAAGTAGGCTACTCAGTGCTTTTATGTCAAAGATCCTAGGCAGCCGAAGGTTTGGATCGCATTGTATAAGGAACCGAGAACTCTTGTTGAACTTTCTCTTGATGAAAACATAGACGGTTCTGATGATCCAAATGAGACTGAAGGAGAAGTTTTTCCTAATTACTCATACCCGTAAAATGTCAATTTTAATATGTATACTCCGCAAAATCGGCTTGATATCCGTAATGTAGGAGATTGAATGTCTAAATTTTAATACTTGTAAAATTTAAAGTATTAACTTTTTTTTAATGAATATTTTTTATTTTATCAATGCAATTTTCAACATTCACTTATTTTGCTTCCATAAATTGAATAATCATTTAAGTTGTAGATGAGCCGAAGGATAAAGCGCATAGGGGAAGTTTCCCATAATCAAGTAGGTTCATCATGAGGTATAAATATTAATTTTTTCAAATAAATTATGTTTGTGATATAAATATGCATATTTCGTATTTATAATTTTATTTTTTATGTGTAGGAATGTCCTCACGACCTTTTTGTAGTCCATTATCTGTACATAGATCCTCACCCGTTGAAGGTATTAATTTATTTAATTTTATTAAGTTAATTGAGAAACTTATTTACCTATATCATTTTTATTACTTTCATAGATATTGCGGGGACAGATACATATGCATCTCCTATGAGTCCACCTATGAGTCAACCTCATCATCGGGATTTATCGCCTAATCTAGGTATTAATTTTAAAGTCCATGAATATTTTATGTTCCATATAAATATTTATTTCACATTTTATATTATAAACAATACACATAATGGATCCGATGATGACGAGATCCAACACGAGTCTTTGGCGGGGTCTTCTCAGTCGGAGGTTGAATGTCTCTGTCCATGGACTAAAACAGTAAATTCCATCACCTTACCAGAAAAATCTATCACATTGCAAAAGAAATGCGATAGGAACTATAAAAGGAGGAGGGATGACATATTAAAGAAGGATCGTATAATAAAGCAGACATTAGAAAAGGCGATGTCAAATCAATTGAGGGAAATTGGTAAGAATATCATGTAAACTATTGAGATTTAGTCGTTATTTAATTATTGAAGTTTATAAAAAAAATTCCTCTCTTTGTCTTTGTATGGAACAAGGACTACGAGAAGGCCGGTAGGCATGGTAGTGATCTGCAAATGAAGATACCTCCTAAAGGTTATCGAGCCATTTTGGGCTGGATAGGCAACATTCCAGTTGGAGATTACGCTGTCAGATTTAATAATTTGATCGGTTGTTTAATCAGGGACCCACACCATATTAACATCACTCATAACTTTGATGAACAGCAATGGAATGGAATAAAGAAGATATGGGAGAGGCTCATGGTAATTGTTCATTATATTGTTTTTTTAATAAATATTTAATTAATTTTTAATAGTGCATGTTTTTTTCACACCTAATTTGTAGAATCACTATTGCCTTAAGGACAACCCGGACTCTTGGGATTACGTAATGAGTAGAGCAAGAAAGATACTTTGGAGGTGGAGGAGTAGACTTGAGAGTTTATACTTTACGGATATAACCATTGATTAGAAACGGATTCATCAGTTTGATAAGAGGGTTCATCCTTATAATTGGATAACTCTCATTATCGAGTGGGAGGATGAGAAGAATGTTAGTTATTTTTAATTCATTATATTACCACTGCATATACTAACAAATTACTTTATTTTGAAGGATAAATATTCGATAGCATCAGCTAATCGCAGTGCAAAGCTATATGATCACTTTCTGGGAGCTACTCCCTACGCTTGGTTTGAGCATAAATATTTGTGTGAAAATCCGGTTAGATTAAAATATTAAAACTCAACTCGTGTTACTAGTTTCATACTTTATTAGAACTAGCTTAAATTTTGATTATTCACAGGACGCCTTGACTATGCCACCAACTCTTCTTGCTAGAAGAGCATATACACCACCCGTGGGCTATGATAAGGAGGAAAAGATGATAAAAATTAAGTATATTCATGTAAGTATAAACTTAATTTTATATTTACACACATATATTTCTAATTAGAATTCCTAATTTATTTATTTCTACTGCTATATGTTATTCATGAGGCACTTAAAGCTTCACAAAACTTTGTCTTGTCCCAGTTTCAGAGCATAGAGAACACTCCTACCGATTCTAATCACATGACTAGAGAGCAATGGAGGAAAATTGTTGATGGAGTTTATGGCTCTAGACCAATCAAGAAAGGGAGGGTGCATTTATCAAGTACAAAAGTTAGGACATTCTCCACTAGCAGGAATATACAAAGCAACTCGTCTGTGACCTCAAAGCAACCATGTGAGACATCGTACACCGTGGGTAAAATTGGGCGGTATTTAATGGATAATGTTCAACCCTCCATGTTTATTCAATTTATTCCCATTATTACGCGTGACCTAAGGGGTGCACAATCGACTTGGGATGTTGTACAACGCCTCAGTGATTGTCCGTCGTTGAAGAGGATTCTTCCCGAGTTGATATACTTAGTTATCTTTAAGTTGGCGTTTGACGAGCATGAAGGTCATGGTGGAGGAGAGGTATATATTGTGACGCCCTAGGTTTCACGCAAGGCTACAGTCCAAGGCATACCCGGATTGTCAAACCTTTCAAGCACCAAATACCATGCTACGACCTGTTTCACCATCACAGTCACTATCTCTCTAGTGGAAACAACAAATAGTTGAAAGTACCGACAGGTAAATAAAAGAAATAGAATAAGCCAAGCATACACAGAAGCAATAAGAGAATACTCATCAATGAGCCTAACTGAAATAGAATAGAAATATCTCTGAGTCTGAAATAAACCTCAAATACAATGAGTTAAATAAAGTATCACTACGGCTCTAAGCCTCTACAAAATGTAATACAAATCTAGAGTCTAAACATAATCAACTAACTGTGGAGTTCTGAATAACTACTAAAATAGTAAATAGCTAGATGGAATCTCTGAAAAAGTCCCATCAGCCTGCGACTCTCCGTGTGCTGGACTCGCTACCTAAAAAGGGGGGAAAACAATGAGCGTCAAAGCGCTATAGCGAGAACATCTCCACCTCTCCCTAGGGGAAGAGGTAGGAGTGTATAGAAAATATAGAGAGTACATAAATATAGAATCATTCATATACATCTAACTAGATATTAGTATTTAGGAATCCACAACACGAGAGTTAGTACGTCGAGCGAAATAATCCAAACAAGGAAACCCTCATGTATATACCATGTCTCAAATTGTGACTCCCTAAATACTAATTCCAAACTCTATGAACCTCATGTATATACCATGTCTCAAATTGTGACTCCCTAAATACTAATTCCAAACTCTATGAATGATAAATAACAAACAAAAATATAATACTCTAAACCTCAAACCTGTAGAACAAATATCTCATCCTGATCTACACTCGGGTAGACGATTTTGACATAAAAGGAACTCATCCAAACAAAAACTAACCACATACCATGTCGTGTAAGACACGGTCTCAGAGAAAGCACCCTACTTACGATTATTCAATATGGAAGCAAAATTATACTTTATATTACTTACAAATGTGCATCTCTTATATATATTAGCGATACTCTTGTAATACTATTACTCAATCTCTCTGTGGCAATAGGTTTTATCTCCCTATCTCGGAAACATGATATGACGATACTTTTGTAATACTCTTACTCAATCGCTATGCGGAAATAGGTTTCATCTCCCTATCCCGGAAACATAATATGATGATACTTTTATAATACTTTTACTCAATCGCCCTGAGGAAATAGGTTTCATCTTCCTATCCCGGAAACATAATATTTGTATACTTTTCATATTTAGTATGTTAACACAACATATTTTAACCATATGTGTACATATCTCGGTGTACGTGTCCATATCTGGTGTTTACTAACATCTCAGATGTTAAACAACTTATAAACAGCGTATCATAACAGTGCAAGGTTGAGAGACTTGCTCGAAAACTCAACAGACGATTTTAAACATGCACAGGCCAAAAATACACTTGGCGGTCGACCGCAATTACACGGACCGCGACGGGTTCCAGGGCCTACGCAGGCCTCTGTCCTGCACGTGGTCGATCGCCACTAGGGCGCGGTCGACCGTGAACCGAAATTCTAGATTCTCAATATGGTTGTATGTGTTGTGTTCACGCCGTGTTTAGGTAATTCAAACATGATTAAAACGATATGAATCTTGTATGGAAACATGAAAACAGCAGTTAAAAACTTCTGGGAGCAACACAATGTATATAACATGATAAATTACATGAAATTTATATTTGAAACCCTAATCATACACATGAACTTGACACAAAGCACAAATCATCTTTCATCAGATTAAAAAACATTTAAATCATGTCCAGATCTTAAATATCTTCTGTAAATTTGTTCTTAAACCTTTTTACATGGAAAGACCTAGTCTTTATACATATAATACAAAAGAATTGACTTTTATTCATAAACTAGTCAATTTGGCTCTAATAAATATGTTAAAAACCCTTTAAAACGTTTTAAAAACTAGGAGGGGGATTAGCAGAGATGAACTCGCCTAAAACTTGTAGTAAAACGTTTAGGATGCTAAGCCAAAGCAGATCTCCAATTCAAAAGCCAAAAATCACCCGAAAATCCACTTGAAAGCCTCCAATATTCTTCAAGAATCAAAATAGCGTTTATAGGGGTTTGGTGGCTGTTAGGGTTCTTAGAGAAACTGAGAAATTCATGAAAATTTAATATATAAACTAGAAAAAATGAATATGGGCTTTAGAAATCCGAAACCAACTCAAAATAAGAGAAAAACTTTCTGCAGGTCTCGCGGTCGACCGTGACGGTCAACCGGACTGGGAATTTCTAGTTCTCATGATTTTGACTGTTGTGCATGTTTCGACTCTTTTCTTCCTCATGAAAGAACTTGCTTATACTCAAAACACATGGTATACTATTCACATACCATTTAACTGTATTTATCAAAATAAATATCCATATATCATGATCAATCATATATATATATATATATATATATCACAAATTTTTGGGGTTTTACATATATAACGTAACACATATGTATTTATTATGATTTTTTTGGTGTATATATATATCTTATGTGGAGTGATAATCTTTTCAGGTTAGAGGAGGTACTCCCGTAGGAAGCAGCAATACAATGTGATGTTTTAATGCAGACGACGCTGATAACAGGGATGCCGATAACGACGATGACGAGGGGTGAGTGAGACTTATTCTTATATTTATCTAGTTTTAGATTTGTTAAGACATATTATGACTTTTAATTTTACCTATATGTAATATACTTGTGGTTTTATTGCGTTGTGAATGAATATTGTTTGAATATTATGGTTGTAATTATAATGTGGAATGAGAGATGTATTGTGATTATATGATGAGTATTGTTCGATATTGTGGATTGATGGATGATGATGGATGAGTATTCATTTGGAATGTGAATGTATATCATGGTTGATTTTATGATATATTGTTAAATATTGTCATTGGATTGATATCGATACAGGCTATATGTGTATTCTCGTATGGGAGACTACCAGAAAATTTAAATTTTTTTGGCGTAAATATGTACATTGGCGATGGTATCCTGTCGCCAATGCACATTGGCGACGGGGAAATCAGTCACCAATGTTTAAAACGTTAGCGACGGATTGCCCCGTCGCCAATGTGTATTGGCGATGGGAACCGCTCATCGCCAAAGAAAAACTGTCACCAATAATTGTTCGCTGCCAATGAGCATTGAGGACGAAGAAACCCGTCGCTAATACTTATTGGTGACGGATTTACTGGTGACGGGTCCATTTTCGTCACCAATATGTATTGGTGACGAAACTTGGGGCATTGGTGACGGATTTTCCACATTGGCGACGGGGAAATCAGTCACCAATGTTTAAAACGTTAGCGACGGATTGCCCCGTCGCCAATGTGTATTGGCGATGGGAACTGCTCATCGCCAAAGAAAATCTGTCACCAATAATTGTTCGCTGCTAATGAGCATTGAGGACGAAGAAACCCGTCGCTAATACTTATTGGTGACGGATTTACTGGTGACGGATCCATTTTCGTCACCAATATGTATTGGTGACGAAACTTGGGGCATTGGTGACGGATTTTCCCGTCACCAATGCCCTGTTTTCTACTAGTGATATCATCAATGGATAGAAAGTTTGATGGATGGTCCACTTAAGTTAACATAAGAATTTTATATATATATATATATGGTTTTCATGATAGGAATAAGAGAGAAAAGGCTATAAACCTTCACAAAACTATCATTTCCTGCTCCGATCAAGTTCGTGCTTTATGCGATAGCTGCGGGGTGATATGCAGAGGCTTCTTGCCAGTTGCATGGTTTGGTCGCCCTCCGACCATTGATCAAGAAAGACATGACGATCTTACAAAAAAGATCCGAATCAGTAACCTTAAACTTATTGTTTATGTTCATAGATGCATGTTAGTATTTTTTTCGTTGTGCATTGTTTATGTAGTAGAACAGCCCTGTTGTAGGCGTGTAGTTATTTGGATCATACATAAACTTTACAATGTATATTTTTCTTTTTTTTCTTTTTTATTTTTTTCGGTGGATAGACTTTTACTATAGGAACTATGGTTCTACTCCCTCTTTTATATGGATTTTTGAAAAATTTTCTTTTTTATTTATTTCTTTTTTGCTTTTATGTTAATGAGTTGTTCTTGAATGGAGGGCTGAAGAGTCACGAGCTTTTTCATTTGTGAGGTACAAGACACATGAAGATTTGATGGTCAATTTTGATTTTATTATTATTATTTTGTGTTTTTCCTTGATATTTATTTCAGTTAGGTTTTGGAATGTAAATTGTCAATTTATCTATAGTAAGGGTGCATTCGGTCCGGATATAACTCAGATAGGATGCTTATCATATCCATATCCGCTTACCCATCTTGAATACGGATACAGATATGAATATATCTCGATAAGGAAAATTCATATCAATATCCGCTAAAATCGGATATCGTTACGGATATTGATGCGGATATATAAGTAAATATGTAAGCGGATATAAAATGGATATGAGAAAACTAAATAATATTGAGGAAAATATAGTTCATGTGATACAAAAGAGGCCGTTAATATGTTCATTGTAACTAAAAAGCTAAGATTAGACATCTAGATCATCAATATTAACCACAAATCCATAATTTAAGAATTGAAACTATCGTAAGAGTATGACTAATATATATTCGGATATTTCGGATACGGATACATATATTTCACTACAAAACCATAGCCGTAACTATATCCTATCGGTTATAAATTTGAGTAACAATATATGTATTCTAATGGATACAATTATGGATATTTCCTCAGATACAGATACAGTTTAGCACTCCTAATCTATACTATATAGTGAAGAGAACACCTAGAATCCACATAGCACAAATTTAGAGATTTGACTCTTGATATTCCATGTAACTAATTAGTAAATTATTAGATATTACTATTTTCCTCCTCTTTCAAATCCTTTACATACTCTTCCACCTCCTTTCCATATGTTTTGCACTCATGTTTACAAACGTTACATATTTTGGCGGCACCCGCAATTAATACAATTATCTATAATCATTAATTATAGCTTGACAACTATTTTTCATTCAAACTAGGGGTGCTAAACTCTATCCGTATTCGAAGAAATATTCGTAACTGTATCCATCGGGATACAGATATAGTTACTCAAATCTATAATCGATAGGATATGGTTACGGATATAGTTTTGTAGTGAAATATCTGTATATGTATCCAAAATATCTGAATATAGATTAGTCATACTCTTACAATAGTTTTGATTCTTAAATTATGGAGTTGTGGTTAATTTTGATGATCAAGTTGTCTAGTATTAGCTTTTTAGTTATAATAAACATATTAATGACCTCTTTTGTATCACATGAGCTATATTTTTTCAATACTATCCAGTTTTTTCATATTCTTTTGTATCTGCATGCATATTCGCTTATATATTCGCATCTATATCCGTAACTGCATCCGGTTTTAGCGAGTATGAATATAAATTTTCCTTACCGAGGTATATGTGTATTTATATTTGTATCCATACGAGATGGGTACGTGGATATGGATATGATAAGCAACTTATCCGAGCCGTATTCAGACCGAATGCACCCCTGATTCAAACCCTTAATATACCCCTCCCAGTTTATTTTTATTTGCAACAAATTATAAGATGTTATACTAGTCAACTCAGATCATGACAAGAATCATTTGCTCCTTCTTTAACTATTATTTTGCTATTTCGTAAAAAACAACACTAGAAAATACAATATGCTCATGGATGGAAATTATTTCAAATAAACTCTACAAGGTATTTTTCTGGTTTTTTATATATAGATGAACTTATATATATATATATATATATATATAAAGTCTCTTCATATCTTGCATGGATCCCTAGGTATCATCAATGGATAAAAGTTTAGTGAATGATCCACTTAAGTTGACATAAGAACTTCTCTATATATGTATCATACTCCTTTTAAAAGCACGAGTTCGAGAAAATCTTTCAGTGGACAAAAATACCTTTAAAATTCAAATACTAATCCATTAAGTAAAAATAAGTTAATAAATTGATGAATTCTTATTGGATATACATAGTATAAAGATAGGGATATAGTTTAAATTGAAATGTAAACCTTAATGAAATTATTAAATGCCAACTTGACAAATGTATACAAGATGAAGGGCGTACATGCAAAAAACCAAACAAATCAACGAGACAAATAATGTCGACTCTAAATGTCGAACCTAGGAATAGCGCAGACATACAAATGTACATAATATGGATGAGATATTACAAAATCTATCAAACAAATTAAAGAGATAAGAGTTGTTCTCAAAATTATAAAAAAGAAAAATTAAAATAAATGACTGCGATCTAAGGACACAACATGGCGATCTCTCACCGACTAAACTTCAAGTAGTTCTTGGTACTGCATAATTAGTTTCAAAGTTTAATTATACTATTATTATTTAAATAGAACTCTATTTATAATTGTTATTTTCTCACATGCAAAATCATGCCAATATATATAAGCTAAAAAATTATAATAATTTTCATAGCACTTTCATCTCCTTTTATAGATATATGCCTTTGTTATTTTCTTCTTATTAAATTAGATTAGATTATTTTAAAGTAATTAATTATATTACCTATTTAATCTTTTTTATATTAAGAAATAACAATAATTTTCATAACACTTTCATCTATTTTCTTCTTATTAGATTAGATTATTTTAAAGTAATTAATTAAATCGTATGTTTGACCTTTTTTATATCAAAAATTATAATAATTTTCATAATACTTTCACCTCCTTCAACAGGTATGTGCCTTTGTTATTTTCTTCTTATTAGATTAGAATATTTAAAATTTATGAATTATGAAATTGTAATAATTTTTACATCACTTTTATCTATTTTCTTCTTATTAGATTAGATTATATTATTTTAAAGCAATTAATTATATTGTATATTTGATTGTTTTTTAGATCACAAAGTTTAATTATACTATTATTATTTAAATAGACACTATTTGTATAAAAGTCAAAAAAAACCTCACACGTATTTTAGATCTCAATGCCGATTGTAATACTTACATATTAGTGTTTGTTAAAATAAATTTTATGCATGGGCTTAACTTATACGATCCTATTTTAATCAGATTAGATAAAAAAATTTTCACCCAAACTCTTCCACAAAGCCAAAAGAGAATATTAATGATATAGCTATATATATCCATAGGACTACATATATCTTGAAAATGAACGAAGCAAACCATACAAACAAAAACTATATTAATTACCCCCACACACTCACTGTTTTCAAAACCACCCTTCTCCATCTTCATCTATAATATATCCACATACCCAAATTAACCTGTTGGAGTTTCTCCCTAATCAACTATAGCATTGATCGATGCTCCTTTTTTCTTTGTACTTAAATTGTATAATATTCATTATAATGAGGACTCATCCGGATTTTCTGCCTGCCTTGAACATCCAATAAAAAATAATATGCTAGGCCTTATAGTTAGTTAATAATGAGATCCTGTCATTATAAATAAATTAAGTAAAGATTAATAATTCATAAGAATGTACTACGTTCTCTTAGCTATCACTGCAAAAACTTGTTGGCTATTTATTCCTGACCACAAGAGATTTTCAAAATTAATTTTGACGGTTGCTTGTATTAAAAAAGTTCTGTTAGGGGGCTCATACAGTCTATTTTATAATTTAAGATTGTCAACACATTTTGTCTCTAATGCATATCAATTATGAGTAATAATATAATTTAATTAATCTAAGTATATCCTAATATATTTCTGGACTCTTATCTTGTCTTTTGCTCTTTATTACATACCAAACTAATATCACGATTGATATAGACGATGAAGACACTATTGTAGAATTGCCCAAGAAAAATATAAAGGCGGAGAATGATTGATCTCGGCTTAATTAAATATGAAAAAAAGAAGGAACAAATAATAATAATTTTTAAATATTTTATAGTAGAACTTGATTTTTTGAGTAAAATTAGGAATCTTCATAAAGGATTTTGATGCAAAATTTTTAATATGCTTATGTGAATAATTTTGTCATATAAAATTATATTAGAGTCTCCAGTAATATTTAGTATTTATTTTTTATTTTAAGTCTATCAATAATTAAGATGTCTTGCTATCTTGTGAAAAGTATGTACTCTGTGCTGAGCTTATATAAATCATCTTAATATTAAGTATTTGGTTATGTTTTATTAACACATCAACAATACATTATTATATTTTTTTTCAAACTTAACACTACATTTAATGACTAAGATAAACAAATTAGAGATCGATGATTTGATTTGATAAACAAGTATATTACATGAAGTTTAATATATACAAATTTAAAAAATAATGTTGTGCATGCAAGTATATAAAAGTATATTGATCCCAGTTTTACACACAAATCTGTTTCATAAAATTTTAAAAAATGTTTAAATAAAATTTATGTCACATGTAATAATCCATGTATAAAAGTTAACTCAAGATGAATCTGACTTATTTTATAGAAAGAAAATAAATTAAAAAATAATTTTAATATTTAACTACGTGCAGTGCACGTGCATAAAAACTAGTTTTGTGTGTAGAAAAACTTATGTCAACTTAAGTGGACCATCCACCAAAGTTTCTATCCATTGATCATACCTAGAGATCCGTGCATCATATGATGAGATTTTTCATCAATAGATAGAAACTTTGGTGGATGATCCACTTAAGTTGACATAAGTTTCTCTCTCTCTCTCTCTCTCTCTCTCTCTCTCTCTCTCTCTCTCTCTCTCTCTTTATATATATATATATATGAGTAATGTTTTCCTAAGGTGACACATTAGATTCCCAACTAAGGATGCGGCCTAAAATCACATCATTCTCTTTTTTTTGCGATCCGCTCTGTTAAACTTGATCTACATGTTCTTAAATCCAAATTTATAAAGTAAAATTACTGATTGCACTGAAGCTTTTTTCCTCCGACGAGATAAGCTTTTTTCCTCCGACGAGATTATACCTAATTTATGAAATTTGATAATATATGCATTTTATATAGATCAATTACAATTTTTGTGAGAAATGGAAAACTTGGGCACTAAAGCTAATGAAGTAAACTTGGACGACGATGATTTGATATATACTCCTCAAGTATCAGATGAGTTGAGGCCAAAAAAGGGGCAGGAATTTGACACAATAGATGATGTTGTGACATTCTACAATGCTTATGCTAAAGTAGCTGGGTTTAGTGTAAGGTCTTGGACTACTCAGAAAGAGCCGGAAAGTTATGAAATAAGAAGGAAGAAGTATGTTTGTTTTAAACAAGGAAAATCTCTAAAAATCACGGATGTTGGAAAGAAAAGACGTCGAGGAAGCTTAGCTGAGGATTGTACTGCCAAAATTGCAGTTTTAAAATCAAACTCCGGAAAATACATTGTTACTGTTTTTAATGAGGAGCACAGCCACCCACTATCAACACCATCAAAGGTTCATCTTTTAAGGCCCCATTGTAACGTTTCAGCCGTAACAAAGTCTCTAACTAAACAGTTATCCATGGTGAATATACCTCAGCATCAACAATTCAGATTTCTTGGAGTACAATCTGGAGGTATAGAAAATATTGGGTGCACTCAAAGAGATTTGTATAATCATGCAAGGGATATCCGTGCTGATTTGAAGGGGCACGATGGAGAAATGTTTTATGAGTATTTAAAATTGGAACAAGAAAAGAATCTCTCATTTACTTTTCAAATTGAGGCCGATGAGGAACAAAAGATTACTCGTTGTTTTTGGTCCGATGCAAGATCAAGGCAGGCTTATAATTTTTTCGGTGATGTTGTAATCTTTGATACTACTTATAACACTAATCTCTATAGCCTTATATTTGCACCAATAATAGGGGTTAACAATCATGGTCAAACAATTGTTTTTGCTTGTGGATTTTTGAATCATGAGAGCATTGATGATTTTGTATGGTTATTTAATCAATTTTTGGAAAGTATGTCTGGTGGTGCCCCGAAGATGATTATTACCGATCAAGACACAACTATGACTAAGGCATTCCCTCTTGTTCTTCCAAATACTTTTCACAGGTATTATAGTTTGTATATATTATTGAAAATGTTTATATACATAGCCTTTCTTTTTAACACTTTATTTAATTCTTTTGACAGGTATTGTAGTTGGCATATATTAATGAAGTTTTCTGAGAAAATTGATGCGGTGAAGTATAGTATTTATAAAAGTGAGTTCTCGGCTTGCATTTGGAAATCAGAGACTTCTGAAGAATTTATTTACAATGGGAAAGTCTGATTAAGAAAAGTGGTTAGAAGGAAACAAGTGGTTGCAAGACCAATATGAACTTCGGTCAAGATGGATTCCTGCATATGTTAATCATATTTTCTCAGCAGACATGTCAAGTAGTCAACGAGCAGAAAGTGGACATGCATTCTTCAAGAAATTTATTTCGAAGAATAATTCATTGGTTAATTTTATGATACAGTTTGGCAGGGAATTAGTGTGCCAACGACATGAGGAGTTGATGGCCGATCATAAAGATGTAATTGAGAAACCTAAACTTAGAATAAATCATGACTTTTTAGAGCAAATGGTTGATATTTACACGAATGAGATCTATTACAAGTTTGAGGCTGAAGTGTGTGACAACTTTAACTATAAGTTGCAGTTTGTTAGGGCAACCGACAATCAGAGTGTGTATCAAATTCAAAGAAAGAAGCTCGCAACAAGCAAAGTCCGCGAAATTGTTTACGACAAGGACTTGGATTTGGTTTCTTGTAGTTGTAAAAAGTTCGAAAGCGCCGGAATTCCATGTACACACATTATATCATATTTGATGAAAATTGATGCTGAAATATTGCCCGATAAATACATCTTAAAGAGGTGGACTAAGTCTGCAAAATCGGGGACAGTGTATGATGATAAAGGCATGCAGATAAGCCCTGACAATTCTTATCTTTTAACGCGGAGTCAATTTATCCAATCATCTTTGGAATTAGTTGACAAGTCCCTTGTATGTGAAGAAACGAGGAAGATGTTTACCGATGGAGTGCGTATCATTAATGAGCAAATCAACCAATTTCTTAGTAGCCACATGGTTAGTGGCCGCACGGTTGCAAAGAGATTCACCGAGAAAACTAATCAAATGAGTAGTAATTTAATGGATGATGGTACTAGTGTGCAGGATTCTTGTACTTTTCAAAATAGTTTCAATGAACCCGATCAAGTGCGAGCAAAAGGGTGCGGCAAAAGGTTGAAGGGAGGAAAAGAGAAAGCAATAGCTAGAGCAAAAAAGCAAAAAATAAAAAAGATAGATGTTGCCACGGGTGTGGTAAAGTAGGCCAATCACATGATAAGCGAAATTGTCCGGCACTCACAAATCCGTAAGTAGTAATTCTATTATTATTTATGTTGTCTTATTCATCACCTTCTATTATCCCCCTTGATGTATATATATATATATATATATATATTTTCGTTATAATGTAGGTCTTCTACATGCGGTGATACAAATTGGCAAGAGGGTAATGGGTCATCAAGTGAAGATGAGGATGATGTGCTCCTATGAAGACGTATATGGCTTTACACACGAAAAACAGTTTCAAGGCATCCGTTGTTTAATAAAAATATCCGTTTATAGATAAGAATTTACATTTGCTTGATATTTATTATTACCGTTTCTTGCTAGTATTTACTAGACTAATATAACCGTGATGACGACCATCAATAAAAAAAATAGCCACATATGAATTGTTCCTGTATGTGTACTATAGCAAAGGCTGCAGGTTGATAATTAAGATGATGATCTATAATTTCCTTTGCTAGCATATAACTCCTTCATTGATACTTACCCTACTGATGCAGTGACATCCTTGTGTTCAGTTTGGCAGAGTTCATGTTTACAATAACTACACCAGAAATTGGGGCATATACGCAGTTTGTGCGAGTGTTGAATCACAATGTGGATTTACTGGCAAATGTATCTGTTTGATGTTTATATGACGTATATGGCTTTACAACTTTGGGTCTTTCGTGTTTAGAAAGCGATATATTTGCACATTTAACTTAGTAGTTGTTATGTATTGTAATGGGTACTGAGCACATTTAACTTATGTGTTGGACTTGTGTAGCTGGGAGCGATGTATATTGTAACTTAGTGTGTTGGGTAATGAGTGGGACTTGTACGTGGATTCACTGATTGTTGGATGATTGCCTATTATGTTCACCTATTATGTTCTCCCCCTGCTATATTTGATGCTGCTATAGTTTTAGTGATTGTTGGATGATTGCCTATTATGTTCGCCTATTATGTTATCCCCCTGCTACATCGTCGGAGATTGTAAGATTTGAGACAGTTAAAACACTCTTTTGGTTATAAAACAGTTTCTATTGAATGACATGCTTGAATCTGTATCTCCTGCATATATCAATCAAAATACTAGTCTAATCTATCGATCACAACTAAGGCAAATTATTACTTCCATTTCATTTACTAATTTGTGATGATTTGTGCCTTCTGTCATAATTATCAGCATACAAAAATAATGAATTGAAAAGCAACAAGACATGATAACTCAACGAATACATATCATAAGCTACTATAAGTTGCCATAATTATCAGCTCATTTGTAAATAAGTTGCCAAATTATAAATTGGATATACCACCATAATACAAATACAACACCATAATCCAAACTCTAATCCTCGAAAAAGGATTTCATGACAAACGAGCATCATAAGCTACTATAAGATTCATTTGTAAATGTTCTGCTCTTTCCTCTACATCTCATTTCTGTAAAAACACAATAGCTGATTAAAAATCAATTTAACATGAGCTAAACAAAAAGTTTATCCAACCAATGCAAGCTCAGCCACAAATTACATCACATGTTTTTTGCAATGGAGAAACCAACAAATACCGCAACGATACATACTAGAAATACTAATATTGTAAACAATGAACCTAATACAAAAGCATAGATAGAGAAAATAAAAGTTTCCGTAAGTTTTTCCTTGTTAACATTCAGATTATGGCTCACTGGATATCTTTGTTCTTAAGCATAAACAGATGTTTGGACAGGCCTCGTGCTGGATGCTGAATCACGAGCGAGTGTGTGCTTCTCTCATTCAATCAAAGCCTCTTCGTATGTTGCATACCCTTTGTAGGAGGCATTTGGGAACTTATCTACCTGAGATTTACATTCCTCCCAATTATTAAAAATATCACATCGTCAACCTCTCTTCACAACATAAAAACTTTTTCTAGCCATGGATAACCTGAAAATACCCCAAATTGGAGGGTAAACAAAATTTTTATATTTGTTGAAGGCAATGTATATGAAGTGCAGGGGGTATAGATTAGTACTCTTGAATTTTGATATTCATAAATCATATCGAAGATCAGGTCGTCTGCTAAAGTTGATATTTTAGTAACATGACACAATCTTCAATTTGATATTTATTTTCAAGAGTTAATTTCACATACATCCATATAGTATCATTCTTTCGCACTTGGTACCCCTATAATTTTATTGTTGCGTACAGACTCTAGAGGGGTCCATATAGTATCATTCTTTCGCACTTGGTACCCCTATAATTTTATTGTTGCGTACAGACTCTAGAGGGGGTTTTTTTAAAGTCTCGTACCGCTGGTTAAATTTTGATAGCATTGCTCCAAGACGAAAATAACAGCATGGTGATTCCTTTGTACCAAGTGGGGTCTTAGCCTAAGAAAATTTACATCTGCTTGGATAAAATTCATGGGCAAGCAGCGTCCAAATAATGATTCAAGAGACTAGTAAAAATCCTAAACTATTATCAATTTCTAGCTATTCCAAACTATTCTCTGAGCTATTACTTTTTTTTATAAAGAGCAATTTCCAGCTAAACTCTAAAAATTATAGACTAAATAATCCAGCGATTGGTACATATGGAAGAAAATTCACATAAGCAACACATAATGCTAAAATCGTTCCATCTATAAAGTAAGATCCTCAGATTAGGTGATAAGCATATGCATCAATATATTCCAAAAACAATTACATATAAATTGTGCTATTTTTCAGCACGATGACCAACAATTACATATAAATTTGACTACAAACGATTAGAAATTCAATTTAGAAACTGAAAGATAGAGCTGCCTACATGTCACCTAATTGAAAAGCCTATTCTTAATTAGTTTTCCGTTTCTCCGATATTTTATTTCTACCAAAAACAAGAATACATTGGCATTTGAAAAACCACTAGCTTAGCTATTGTCTACCACTATTTGTCGAAAATAGGTAAACAAATTTGGGGCTTGATGGTTACCTGAGTTGGGGGATCTCAAGATCGAGCTCGAGGGAGTTGGGGATAGTCGGTCACGGTCAGCGAAGTTGGACTTAATCGTTGTCGGCGTCGGATGAGTTGGGGAAGTCGGCGATCTCAGACGTCGTAGTCGTGGCGGAGGAGGCGGTCTCAAACTTTGTAGTCGTGGTGGTGAGGCGGATCTGGGGAGCTCCGGTTGGAGATGGGTGATTTGGGAGATCGTCGGCGTTGGAGATGGCGGATTGGAGATGGAGGGGGAGGTTCGATTGGAGATGGAGGAGGGATTGGGGATTTTTTGGGAGAGAGAGAGAGAGAGATCTTGGGTCATGAAATTGGTTTAAGAGAGAAGCTTTCGGTGACATTTTGCAAAAAAGCCCCCTCTTTCAAACCCCACGGCCAGGGGTGTGCAACGGTCGGTTCGGTTCGGTTTTTACCAAATTTTGAACAACCGAACCGAACCGCTTATATTCGGTTTTTACCAAATTTTGAACAACCGAACCGAACCGCTTATAAATCAAAACCGAACCGAACTGTTGTAAGTCGGTTCGGTGCGGTTCGGTTCGGTTTGATCGATTCTAACTTCATCAAACTTCTTATCAAACAACAAACTGTTTTAAAGAAAAAAAGATATCAACAAAGTAGGAGATTATGAAGCATTAAACACTGATATAATGATATTGTTTTCAACCCATAATGATTCAGAAAATGAGTTTAGGGTTTGATTCTTTGACTCTTTTAGGACGGGTCTGGTAGGGTTTGAGATCAGAATGGGTAGTATTGCACTATATTCGGTCGGTTCGGGTCGGTTCGGGTTGAAAAGTTTTCAAACCGACCCGAACCACCCCACTCATAAAACCGATTTTTTCGGGTCGGTTCGGGTCGGTTCGGTCGGTTTTTTCGGTTTGGACCGAACCATGCTCAGCCTTACCCACGACGGTCACGAGATCGCCTCAATCAACGGTGTTTTTTTGCGAAAAAACCCAAAATCGCTGGCACAGTACGGTCACGAGAAGAGAGATTGTCGGAGGATTTTTACAAAAAAAAACCCCAAATCGATGAAACATCCTCAGTGCGTACGCATTGATGCGTATAGGAAATGGAATTACTCAAGTGAGGAAGTTCAGAAGAAGATGGCAGGATTGCTCAATTCCATTACCACGAACCCAATTACATCTGCTTGATGAAACGAATGGGTTATAACTTTAACGAGAAAAAAAGGGTTAAACTTTGGGAAAGGAAGGCGAACGCCCGTTCGTATGTGTCTCACTCCCGAAGGAAAACCTCCTGACTATTATCAGAAGGTTGGAAGAGGTGTGGGTTATGTCACAACCCCTTCCCAAATAAAACTGGTGACTGTCTGTGTCAAGACCATTCATCTGGGACGTCATCATGGGAATCCGACATCAGCGTTGGAGTCTTCTTTAAAAGTTTGACCGTGAATATGGTTTCAACTAGTCGCCCAGATGAAGACATGGGGAGTGATGAAGAATTGATCGAATCAATCAACGACCCTTGGATCAGGCACCTTAACATCTTGTGGGATATGCGTTTTGAACAACGTGAGCCGCCCAGCGAAGATAAGGTGATCCAAGTCAACATGGGAGATGAATCTGAACCCAGACCTATCTTTATAAGCGAAAGCTTATCACCATCCAAGAAAGAAGATCTTATATCTCTCATTCGAGACTATATAGACGTCTTTGCTTGTAGTTATCAAGACATGTCTGGCCTTGACCCAAAAGTGGCTATGCACTGGCTTAACATTGATCCGGATGCAAAACCAGGTAAATAACAACAACGATAGTTTTGCCCAGAGATCATGGAAGCAATTGAGTCAGAAGTCAAAAAGCTAATAGACTCAGGCTTTGTTAGGGAGGAACAACACCCTTATTGGGTTGCCAACATTGTTCTCGTGCCCAAGAAAAACGATAAGGTCCGGATATGTATTGACTTTCATGATCTGAACACGGCATGCCTAAAATACGAGTTTCCGCTTCCCATCACTAATGTCATGATCGACAACACTTGCGGATATGAGAGGATGTCTTTCATGGATGGATTCTTCGGGTACAACCAGATCAAGATGTATCCTGAAGACAAAAAGTATACTACTTTTAGAACGCCACTGGGGGTGTATTACTACACAATGATGCCCTTTGGATTAAAAAATACAGGTGCAACCTACCAACATGCAATGAATGCAATCTTTCACGAACATTTACGTAAGGAGATTGAATGTTACGTTGATAACATAGCAGTGAAAATCCGACACAAAGAAGATCATCTTACAGACTTAAAAACAATGTTCGACATCATGTGAGCACATCAGCTAAAGATGAATCCGACAAAATCTTTTATTAGGGTCTCTAGTGGAAAATTCCTAGGATTTATAGTTACGTCCAAAGGAATTTCTCTTGACCCAGAAAAAGTGTGTGTCATTCAAGACATGCCACCTCCGAAGAATCTCAAAGAGCTCCGAGGATTGCAAGACAGATTGGCTTACATCCGGAGATTCATCTCCAACCTCTCGGGATGATGTCAATCTTTCTCTAAGCTCATGAAGAAAGGAGTATCCTTCATTTGGGATGGAGACTGCCAAAAAGCATTTGAGAAGATTAAGAGATACCTCACTCAACCACCAGTCTTTGCGGCCTCGATATCGGGAAAATCGTTCTTGTTATATGTGAGAGCCATGGATCATTCCCTAGGAGCTTTGTTAGCCCAGAACAATGACCAAGGACAGGAGCAAGCAATCTACTACCTAAGTAGGACCATGATGGGAGCTGAACATCGGTATAATCCGGTAAGAAAAAGAATATCTTATCTTGGTATTCACTATCCAAAGATACGACATTTCCTAGTTGGACAAATAATTCATGTCATTTCTAAGGTAAATCCTTTGAGGGTGCTTATGACAAAACCATCCTCTCTAAATTGTCGACTAGCAAAATGGGCAATTCTCCTGTCATAGTATGACATGCAATTCATGCCCCAAAAGAATGTTAAAGGTCCAGCTCTAACGGATTTTTTAGCCGATCATCCACTACCAGGATCATCTAAGTTGTATGAAGACTTGCCTGATGAAGTAGCTGAAGCTTGTGCGACCCAGGAAGGTGTACAAGTGTGAAAATTATTCTTTGATGGTGCATCCAGATAAAACCCGCATGGATCGATTACCGCCGTAGTAGGGGTGGTACTCGTCTCCCCAAATGGTCATGTAATTCCAAGAGGATTTTCCCTGATCGAACCTTGAACCAATAATGTAGCTAAGTATAACGCTCTACTATTAGGGATGCAATTCGTCGAAGAGCTTAACATTTGACATCTCGAGGCTTACGGTGACTCTCAACTCATTGTAAATCAAGTCCGAGGAGAATATGAAGTGCGCAATGAAGACCTGCTCCCATACTACTTCGCGGTACTAGAACAAGCTCGGAAGTTCAAAGGTTTCTTCATTGGATATATTCCACATGCTCGGAACACCTATGCAGATGTCTTAGCCTCACTGGCAACCTCATTAGCATTACCACCAGGGGCTGAAATAATAATTCCTATCGCGGGACGCAAGTTGTATTACCCCAAGATTTCCTTAGATAGACAATCCGACAAGACGACGACAGGAGAAGTCTGCACAACCTCAATGGAGCTTGAACCTAAGGATTGATGATTCTCGTATGTCGATTATATACTATACGGAATTTTGCCCAATAATCCCAAGGAAGCAGCGCTATCAAACGAAAAGCCCTCCGATTTTATTACGACGCGGTTTCTCAAACCTTGTATCGTAAATCGCACGATGGACTCTTACTTCGTTGCCTTTCTAGGAAGGAAGCGGAAGAGGCTCTCAAGGAAGCTCGCGATGGGATGTGTGGAGCTCATCAACCCGGGGCTAAGTTGGGAGACCGTCTCTGACGAATTGGTTATTATTGGCCAAAGATGTTTACAGACGCAGTTGACTATATTAGACGTTATCACGCGTGTTAGATCTATGGAGACTTCATTCATCAAGCCCCAGGGAATTTACATCCGACATCTACGCCCTGGCCATTCAAGATGTAGGGAATGGATATCGTGGGACCAATCTCTCCTTCGACTTCCAAAGGATATTGGTTCATTTTGGCCGTAACCGATTACTTCTCCAAATGGGGCAGAAGCAGTCCCGTTAAAAGAAGTCAAGACTTCGAATGTGATCAAATTCATCAAGCATCACGTCATCTACCACTTCGGAGTCCCGAGACAAATAGTCCATGATAATGGAACACAATTTGTCAGCTATGGATTTTAGAGATTTTGTGATAAGTTTGGAATCCAAAGTGTTATATCTACGGTATATTATCCGCCAGCAAATGGCCTCGTAGAAGCTTTTAACAAGACAATTGTGTAGCTTCTTAGAAAATTCATTTCCAAGAGCCGACGCGATTGGGAGGAAAGACTTGGCGAATGTCTGTGGGCCTATCGCACGACGGTGAAGACCCCTACAAAAGCCACTCTATTCTCTTTGGTATATGGCTACGAAGCTACATTGCCATTGGAAATCCAAATCTCTTCCCTGAGAGTTGTCATCGCGACCGGAATAACGGAGGATGAGAAACATCGATTACGCCTTCAGGAACTGGAAGCCTTAGATGACAAGCGACTCCAAGCTCAGCAGCAGATCGAGTTATATCAAGCTCGAATTTCTAAAGCTTACAACAAAAAGGTTAAAGAACAGATGTTCAAGAAAGGCGATTCGGTCTTAGCCGTCAAACGACTCATGGTTATGACACACAAGACCGAAGGGAAGTTCATTTCCAAGTGGGAAGGGCCGTTCGTAATAGAATCAGTCTATTCGTCTCATCGATCATGTGACGCCCCTGGGTTCACACGAGGCTGCAGTCCTCGGTGAAACCAAGAATGTCAAACCTGCCCTGCACCACACCGTGCAATAACATGTTTCACCATCACAATTAACATCTCTCTAGTAGAGTCAACAACAGGTGTAGGTACAAAAGCAAGTAAAGGATAATACAAGAGATACTGATGAAATGAAAGAGATCAAAATGATATTTCATCATCCAACATATAGAAATACAAAGTCAATGTTTAAAAGGAATAAACTGGAGTTCTTACAAGTCTCAAGTACAACAAGTCTGAGTAAAGGAAATAAGGCACACAGCCTTTACAACATCTAGAATAAAGTCCTCAAATGTCTAAACAAAGTCTATAGTGGAGCTCCATAAATAAATATAACTAAAAAGACAACAGAAGCTAAAGTGCATCGTCATCAACCTGCGACTCTCCGGGCTTCTGGCTCGTTACCTGAAAGGGGGAGGGACAACGAGCGTCA